ATATATATATATACACACACACTCAACGGAGTTCAGCGCGAGAGGTTGAGAGAGACGAAGAGAGCCTATAGCCCCCCTTATCAGGTACAGTGAAAGCTTGATGAGGCCCGCGGTAGCACACCGAAGTCCTAAACACCATTACCCCAAAGCCCTAAACCCCTGCGTCCCTTAAGCCCTTCGATCCTTTCGAAGTTTTTAACAATCAGGTCGACATGGCCTCACTGCGTTCACGTGTCACCGTCTTAGAGGACAGCGGAGACCGCACGAGGATGTTTGTGTTCATTGATGCATTTGGAGGATTAGGGGCTTTGGGGGCTCAGGATTTAGACCTTACGGCTTTTCACACTCTGAGTAGCATAGTGATGTTTATGCCCGTTCTTTGGCCGCGTGGAATGTAGTCTCTGTGATTTGACTCAAACCCCGATGCTTCTCCAGTGACTTCAAAACTTCATAAGCCCTTCTACCCTAAACTCCAAAACCCTTAGTGAAGGAAGAGACGTTTAGAATTTAGGCTCCTTTTGGAAAGTAATAATAATACCTGGGGTGACCACTGTACCCTTAGAGACAGGGACTGGCATTAAACCAGCGGTTACCTGACTTTAAAGCCTGAACTCTAAGCCCATAACTTACAGGCAATGCTTCAACAAGGCGTCTTGAAGTCTCTTTTGAGCTGCCCTGGTGACCTTAGATGAACCGGAACCCCGATAATCTTTCAACCCATCCCACAACCCATGAAAGCCCATCAACCAAGGCCCTAAAGGGACGCTGAGCCATAAACCCTAAACATTAAACCCCAAACCCTGACCTTAAAGGAAGCCTTAAAGGAACCCCATAATTACCGTATGAAGGAGCCCTTCAACTACAGGAGCCCTTTAAAGGCACCCTGAAAGTATATGGATCCTTTAAAGGAGCCCTTATAAAGAGACCCTTCAAAGAAACCCCTAAACCCTAAACTCTAAACCCTAAACCCCAAACCCCTATAAACCCTAAACCCTAAACCCTTACGTTGGAGTCTCTCGGTCTGAGGAGTCCTTGTCCGACGCTGTGTCCGAGGCCACCCGGGCGCGAACGGAGGCCCCGGGAGGGTTTGGCCTCGGGTTTAGAGTTTTAGGGTTTAGGGGTTTGGGCCGAAAAAATTAATTGCCAATATTATTTGGCGTTTCCTATTCTCGTGATAGTATTATATACCCCAAAGCCTTCTTCTGATTCTTAAGGCCCCTATATGTGGGTTTTCGGGGCCTTGTAGGGATTTTGGAACGGGGTACAGGGGTTTAGGGGTTAAGGACACAACTACCTTTCCCCTTATATTCCCCAGAAGGAGCTGTCAGGGTGTGGAGTTAAGGATTTTAGGTTTAGGGTTGAGGGTTTAGGTTTAGGCTTGGCAAGTGTGGGCTTGGTATGAGGCTTTTGCTGCAAGCAGGAAGATCCTGAGAAGGTTTGTGGCATAGTTGTTCCCCGCAGCTGAGGGCTTTTAGCTTTATGCCCGAGCCATGTTTGGGGGATGCCCATTTTTCCTGCAGGCAAGGAGTGGAATAAGAGGTGCCATAGTTGAGGGGTGCCTCAGGACATGACAGTTGTCTAGTCTTGGGATGCAACCAAGGCCGGCAGCTTCCAACCTTTCTCTTTATGTCGTTTTTTTACTTGTCATCGGCAAGATCACACAAGAGCATCAGAGTGTACAAGCCGTATACTCCGAAATGCAAACCAAGGCATACCCTCTAAAGGATAGCGCGGCGACGGGTATCCGAACAAGAACATCCTGATTCGGAAGATTCTACATGAAGAGTCTCGAGAATCATAGGAGAGAGGCGGCGTTATCCCCGCGTCCTTAAAGACCAAATGCCCGCACACTGAACCCTGAGCCCTCCCTCAACCCCCTCAAAACCAAAACGCTCCAATCCCCGAGCCCTAAACCCACAGGCTACAAAGGCCCTAACCCTCAACCCCGACACTGTAAACCCATAAAGTCTCGGGCCTTATAAAACTCCAAACCCGAAGTCCGATCCGTGGAGGTGGCAGCGCTGAGAGAGTTTGTTCAGGCGCCCAGATTTCAGGCGGCCCTGGCATCATTGAAGTTGCAGATGTACGGCAATAGGATTTGCGGGTTTCGACGTTTAACGTTTCAGAGTTTAGCTTTAGGGTTCTATGGTTTATAGGGATTCCATTGTTTAGGGGTTGAGGTGCTGAAGAGGTAGAGCTTTAGAGATGAAAGGTTTCGGGCATTTTTGTTTCAGGGTTTAGGGCTGAGGTTGGGAAGTTGAACATAGTAAGGCGACGACTATGTTTGGCACTATCAGGCACTATCATCATACTCTACCGGAACTAGAATAACTGGAAGGGTTAGGGTAATAGTCCCTAAGCCTAGAGGAAGAACACTCACCCAAGCGCTGGGGTTTGGGGTTCAGGCGCTTCGGGCCCTCGGTCTAGGATCCAGAGTGCCTCCGTGAATGTCAGTCCCCAAGCAGTTTGCGTCGCCCCTGCTTCGGACTTTTTCGTACCCGGCAGAAACAAGAAAAGAGCTCATGCATGCAAACTTGTGTGTGTGTGTGTGTGTGTGTGTGTGGGGGCTTTGTAGTCTTTCCCTGCAGAACCTGCGGACTACCCAGAATTGCGAATGAAAACACACTTCATGTGCAGACGAAGGAAGACACTGGCGTCGTAAGGTTATGTTGAACAAGACTGTCATATGATCGCCCCGCATCGGTCACGGTTTGAATCACGTGCACGTCGGACGTAAGATATTAATAGTAACAATAACAGCAAAACAACATTCGTACATGACAGTTTTTCCCCTCGAGTACTTCACCTTCCATACTTTGCCCCACACGGTCGGACTGGTGCAGCTTTGGTCTGGAGTGTCAAGCGTTGTATCTTCGTCTCTTCTCAATCACGGAAAAGTGCCGTCCAACTCATGTTTAGGGTATGGGGTTTTATTTAGGCTTTAGGGATCAGGGGTTTAGGGTTTAGTTTAGTCCCTATGTGCACGAAACTTCCGTGCAGCAATACTCGATAAACGACGCCGAATGCCATCTACCTGCAGAACCATTGCCACATGTTGCTCTGGTGGAATATTTGCTTTGCAATCGCACCTGGTAAGACTTGTTGTTTGGTATGTGAGCCATCAAAGCGGAGGCTCTGAGAAGGCAGGCAAGCTAGGGTCTATACTTATAAGTAATCACTATGGGGATAACTGCGGTCTGCACAGTCCTTACATGATGATACAATAATCCCTACCACAGCTGGAAAGGCCCAGTCCTGAAACCTTATCCTACAGGGTTTAGGGTTCAAGGTCCAACGATTCTCTGGTGCAAGGCCCGCACTGCCAAAAGCATTCATCGAGCCCTGTGAAGCCCCAGGTGAAAGCAACAATCAAGCACGAGCGAAACGTGTTAGAACTTTTGTATTGAGTAAAGTCCCTAAAACCCCATAAACCCTCAGCCTCCTTCCACTTACCCCTAAAACCCTAAACCCTAAAGGCCCTAAACCCTAAAGGGT